GTCTCTCTGTCCGCAATCGGAGATCGGGAATCGAATCGAGCGGCGACCATTATTTTCGACAGCCGTGGGTCAATACTGCGTTACACGAGGCGATTGAATTATCTCCTCGGCTGTAATTCAATAACCGAACAATATCGCCCTCTTTCGCGATGAATTAATGCATTTATCCGATCTGGCGATCTTTAAACGTGGCAATTTATTTCACGCGAAGTAACCTCTCACGACGGGATCGCGCGAAATTGCACAATAATTGCAGACACGCCCTGCATTATCCACGATTACAGCTCATAAATAATTATATCCTCGCGGTGTTGACCGACATAAGACTAGAAAAATTCACTTGGAAACGCGAAGGGAGGGCTTGAAAAAAATGTCGAATACTTCAGCAAGAATATATATGTTTTATAATAGATTGTCTCTGGCTCGAGTCAGATTGATGTCATCTCTGTTTCTCACTCGCACGTAAAAGCAGTTCTACCGAGCTGGTAGATCGACTTGTAGGATACTGCAGTTATTAGCGTCATGTGAAACCTGAATAATTTCTGTTTGATAATTTTTGACAATTATCTTTCGAGTTCGATCAAACTAAAACATTTCCAACGGCATTCTAACTGAGGAGAAAATATCCTTCTCGAAGAGGGTCTTGGTTTTTATGAAACGATAAATCCTGAATTATCCTGAATTGAGGCTCTGTCTTTGAACATTTTCTCAACGATACAAACTTCCGATTGAAAATCTGGATATCTCTTTGAGCAGAATTTCGCGACCTTGCATCATCACAAGGTAAAGAAGGATCAACTCATATATCGATTTAGAAAAAAAAATGAAATTCAAAATTCATTAAAGCTAGAACCACTGCGACAATTGAAGCAAAGACAAAATATCCATTGGAGCGACATTAAAGTGAAGAAATAAAAAAACTTTATGGTAAAAATAATTTGTGCAAACTTTCATCTATACATTTTACAAAAAATCGTTTAAATCTCTAAAAATACGCTGTTTCGTATCTATAAAATTTCTAACGAAAATTGTACATTGCAAGTGGTTATTTTGATCATTTTGATAGTTCCAGTGTAAGAATTGCCTACTCTCGTCTACGATGAGCAATGAATGTTCAAGTTAGAATGGAAGGGACAGAAAAAAACTTTTACTCGTATGTTTCGCAAGAATCATTCAAACCTTCAAAAATGCAACAATTGTAAATCTAAAGCGAAACTACTCTAAAGGAAATTATAAATCGATCGTTCTGACCACTGCGGTAGTGTTGAAGAAAAAACCTTTTCTGAATGTATATATAAAGTATATGATAAATTTTCGATTAAAGATACCGAGCAATCCGCGATCTGAATAACAAACCAACAATCGTGTGTTGAACGAACACGAATCCAACGTGACACGATCTAGCAGTAGAAATTTTCTCTCGTATGAAACTCGCCGATTCGAGTAGCGCGTGAATGATTTATACGGTTGAGTGGATTTCTGGCGCCATTCACAGATCGTGAAAAATCGGCGCTACTGCGTTTCATCATTTTACCTACGGCAGAACTTTTCCGATCGAAAGTCTAATAAAATTTCCATTCAATTATCCAGTTTTGCGTGATAGAAGAGAAAGCGAAAGAGAAGAAAGGATATTTCGAATTGAACGAGTAGACTTTCGTACATTTGAGAAACGTCTGCAACGTGAGGTTTCGTACGAGCGTTTCGTTTTTGGTACTCGAAAACGCATTAAGGGTGCAGAATCCTGGAAGTTACTAAGGGACTCGGGGGTTCCGGAAGCTTCAGGGCAATCCGGCGAGTGTATTTTACTACCGCGGTGTTTGTGTATTTTGCTGCAACGCAAACGAGACGCACACACACGGTGTGTGTGTGTGTGTGTGTGTGCGGTGACACAACCGACGGGAGTCAGAGATATTGTGAAAAGCTAGGGGCCGTGGCGCGCGATGAATAATTCGCGAATTCACCGTTTGTGTCGCAAATCCATCGTTTTGGATTTTCCGCGAGTGATTTGAAATTTCTACGATCGATCGTGCCGAATCACGCTTCGGGTCCTTTTTTTTTCTCTTTCTCTCTCTCGAAGAGATCACGATCGAATTCTCCAACAACACGTGGAAACGAGGTCGAGAAAGGGAGGAAATCTCGTCTTTTATCGAGGATGCACGAGAGGCAGAAAGAGAGATAGAGAACGGGAGACTGATTGCAACAACGTTTCGCATTCCTCCGCATGAGATTCCATCGTGCCGTAATTTCGGCTCCGTGTACCATAAAATCGGTGGTTTCTGCACCACCGAGAAGCTCGAGCGTTCTCGAGCATTGTCACGCGCGCGGCTCGATCCTCGATTGCCGAGGACGCGTATGCATCCCGAGCCTAGCTCGATGCGCGAAATGTTCAGTATTTCTTGCCAGGCTGAAGACCTGCTTTCAATTTGCGGCCAACAATTTACCCGACGACTACTACCACTGTGATACGCGGGACCCGTGATGTACATACATCGCTGACATTCCTATATTTCTCGATGAAGGGCAATTATTCCTTTTCCTCCCCTCTGATACTCCCAATTTACGAAACTTACGATCTTCCTGCATCTAGCAATTATACTTAGATTTGTATTTTCTTTTTTTCTTTTTTATCGTGTTTGTGTACGTACAGCAGGAAGCATGACTGAACACACAATGATTGAAAAATTGCCGACACTTGGTCTCATT